CTTTTTAATTAGTGGATGCCTCCTTTCAAAAAAAAAAATCAAAATTCTCTACTAAATTCTCTCCAAAAGTCACACCTTTTGAATCCGAAAAGACATCTCCATTCATTTAAGAGACATATCCCTTCAGTAAAGAGCATTCCAAAGTGTCTAGATGCATTAAATTACTCCATGATGCATTTGAATCATTTGAAGCCTTCAAAATCCACTCAAAATTCATCCCGAGCAGCCTTAATCCATCTTATATTGTCTCTGGTGCCTCAAGCACCAATTTTGGGGCCTGAGGTGCCAGTTCTCTGGATTCTGGCGCCGCAGGCGCCACCCAGTAACAGCTCCACCATTTTGCTCCTTTTTAGCTTTGTTTTGCCCCATTTCAGTTGCATTTTGCTCCTAACAGATATACTCTATAAAATAAGAATGAAAATAACATTTCTTTAAAGTATAACTGTAAAGAAGTTTCTAGACCTCAACCATTAAAAAACATGTGATAAATGTAAATTAGATTAAGCATAAAAAGACATATCAAAATGTGCTAAGTAAAAATTTTCTTTCTTGCTTGTTTTTACTCCAAATTGCACCATTGTTGCTTCATTTTCTCCAAAAGTTCATTTCTTGTACCTGAAACCCAAAATATGCAAAATATCTTTCTTTAAAGTGTAATATCATTAAAAATAATTAAAATTGAGCATAAAAAATATATAAAAAAGTAGATAAGTTTTAGGCATGCCACCTTTCATTTATCATCACTTAAATGTAAGTAGGACTCTTTTAATCAAGAGTATTCTTGGGCATTCCCAAAAATATAATTAACCAAATGGGATACATCTTTTTGGGAGTGCTCTTGACCTCATGATAAATACACAAATTTTGTTCTTTAGTTACATAGGAAGCTTAAGTAGATAATCCTTCATAGATATTTGGTGTAAGATGTCTCGATCTGATTCTATTTGGATGTACACTCTTATCCTATCACATGACGTTTACCTCACATAAGCTCTTCAAGTTCTCTCTTTCAATTTGTCTACCTAGTATTCATCTTATTTTCCTCTTTTTTTATCCCTCCTCTCCTCAATGTTTCAATGATTCAAGTAAGAGGGTTCTTTGGAAAGGGAATCCTAATACAATGATTAGACTAACTAATAAATCCGACTTTACAAAAAAGATCGAAACAGACCGCACAAGCTCCTCACTAAAGTAAGTGGGTTTGGGAGCAACTTGCTTGATCCCTTCGCTAAAAACTATGCTAAAGTGGGTGACCTTGGTCGAACTCTGGTTTGGAGAGGGAGATGGTAAGTGTTGGAGGTATGAGACTTTTCTTGGAGTAGAGGGGAATGTTTTGAGTGTGTGATATTCAAACTTCAACCTTTGGAATATTCTCCCTAAAAAAGCATGCTTTTGTCTTGGTTTGGCTATTAACCATGGCTTGGGGATTTTCCTTAGCTGAAATTTGGTTAGGATAGGTCTAGGGTAAGTTTTTTGGTATAAGAGGGTTTTTTTGGTTGATATATGACTTGGATAACTTATCTTAAGCGAAATCAATTTAACCTTGGAAAATTTGAACTAATGAAAGGTTCCAACTGGTTGAGGTGCTTAAGGTTGCCAGGTGTTTGTTCACAATAGCTTTTAACACCTACCTAATGCAAAAATTCATATTGATCTTAGTTATTTTGAAGTTTAGAGTGCATTTGCACCATCAGCTCTCTTAGGATTAAGTCAACTTAGACATACTAATAAACTTGATTTGATTGAGTTTGACTCAATGTGATATATTTAATTTACTTTGGATTCAATATACTAAGTGGTCAATTTGGCCAAATTAGGCATAATGGTTGCTTGAATTAGTACTAATTAATGATTTGAAACTCTTAAACTTATTTAATTTAAGTTTAATTTGGATTTATTTGATTTTTGGTTAAGCTAGTCCACTTAGAGCACTTTGGCAAAATAAGCTAATTGGTCAAATCAAGCTTCAATTGAGTTTTAATTAAATTCAATTAACTTTAATGAATGATTTTATTTTTTTGATTTACTTAACTTTATTTGATTTATATTTAATTTAAATTTGGTCCAATTGGATCTTATTGGGTCATTTGACTTAATTGACTAAATTAAACTTAGTTTCAATTATTGTTTTAAGTTCTTTTAATTATTTGATTTAATTAATTTGGATTTTATTTTAGATTTGTTCAAATGTGATGTCAATAGGTCAAATTGAGCCAAGTGACCCAATTTATCAAAATGGACCTTAATTGGGCTTTAGAATGCACTTAGTTAATTTTTTCCCTTTGAGAAATAATTGTTTTAATAAGTTTTGGTTTATTTTGAATTTTCTTCAACATGGTTAAAAAGGTTAAATTGGGTTTGTGAGTGATTTGACTAATTTAAGATTTTTTTTCTTTTAAACTCAGTTGAGCTAGTTTTAATTTAGAGTTTGATTGGATTATAATTGATTCCAATTAATTTAAATTTTGAGTGAATTGGTTCAAGATGACGCATTTATGTTAAATTGGATCAAGTGTCTCAATTAGTCCAACTAGAATCCTATTGATTTCAATTTTAGTTCAATTAAATTTATTTTATTTTGAGAATATATTTTATTTGATTTAATTTCATTTAATTTTGAGTTGGAACATTTAGTTTAATTTGACTTATTGGAATCATAAATGGGTAATGTGGGCCCAAAAACCCAACCTATGCTTAAAATTTTAATTTAGGCTCCAATTAGTTGAATCAATCTTAAATTTGTAGTTAGATTCTATTTAACTTCGTAAGATTCGATTTAGGTTGTTCAAGGTGAGTTAAACCAAATATCTCCTTAATAGGTCATGTTTGAGCCAAATATACCAAATGAGCTAATTTGAGTTTAATAATTCAGATTTTGATTTATATGTAGCCAAGTTAAGTCTTATAGGACACTTAACTAGATTTGATTCAACTAATTTGGTTGAATTATTTTAAGTTCCAAAAGTGGTTGAAGGGTTGATCTACTACATCAAAATAGTGTAGCCTTAGGCTTTAAAAACTTTCAGTTCAAACCAAGTATGACTTTAATGAAATTATTTTAATGAGTTATAAACTAGTTACGTTCATTAGAAGTAAATTCTTGTGATAAGATTTATATTGTTTAATGGACCCCTTATAGTTATTATGGGTTTAATTGGTCAAATTAGATCAACCAAATCATCATAACCTAGAAGGAGTCTAGATTATGTCTAAAGGCTTCTAGGATGGATCCTAAGGCATTTAATTTAAATTTTTGGTTTTGAAGGTTCAAGGTTCTTAAGGGTGACATTGGTATGCTTTAGGCTATAAGGGGAGAGCTTGGTTCAATTTATGATTCTTAATGACTTAATTGTGGCCAACCTAACATCATTTTGAGCGAGCTGAGGACCAACTCATGTGCAGTTTGAACTCGGGAATAGTGGGTTGATTTATCCTTAGGGTTAGGTCTAATATCCACCTAGTCACTAAGAGAACCTGCTCAAGGTTCAATGAGGGGAGCGCCTATGTCAAGATCATGTTTAATAGACTAAGAAAAGAAGAGTTTGTTGAACTCATTAAAATTGAGGTCAACAATAGACTAGAATTTATTACTGAAAGATTTTAAGTAAAAAATCATAAAATGAAAAATCACATGATATGATCCAATAGAAACAATTTCACTACATAGGTTGAAATTTACATGGTTATGCACTTTTTGTCACAAAAAATGATATTAGAAGAGAAAGTGATGAGTGCTTGGGTCTATTGATGATCAACGACTGATGTTGATCGAGGTTAATGATAATCATGTAGATTGGTTGACAGTCGATGTTCATAGATGATGGTAGATCTCAAAGTTGTTGCCAATTATTGGTGATTGTGAGCAATGATATGTGTTAAAGGTTGGCTTCATGTTGAAGGCATTTCTTGTTGAGGGAAAAGCTATGGAATCGAAGTCACATAGTTATGTTATATGAAATGTATTTGAATGTTTAAACACATAAATTATCTATGAATTTGTATACTAAAAAATGGAAAGGACTAGAATGTTCTTTTTTCTTTTCTTTAAAGCAAGGCTAAATATGTAATTTACATATTTTTATTTTTCTTACCCCTTCATTTGTAATCAATGACCTTATAGAATAAAATGGGACAGAGAGCCGAGGAACACCTCATTTCCACCTCCCTCCCCCCGTTGAGGGAAGTCTCTCTCTCTCTATCTCTCCCCCTCTCTCAATCTTCTTTCCTCGGACCAACGCTCTATTCATTGAGCACGGTCTACCGAACAAATTTGGATTCAACTGAATTCTTAAAGTTGGCAGTCTATCATTTTGATTATGATTTATTGCTATACCGCATAGATGATTGGAGTTAATCCCCTTTGGATTTTTATTTTTAAACATTTCATTACCTTACTTTGATGATTTTGAATTTCTCACTTCAAAGTGTTCATTTTGATCATACAAAAGCACGATTAGAGAACATTTTACACTCAAAATAATACTTAGAAATTTCGAATTACATTTGGAGCAACTGATCTATGTTTTTTGGGACATAGATCAATATGGTCTTGATGTCATTCGATCCATCTTATCTAGATGCTCCTTTGTTATTTGTTTGTTAAAAAGGAATTTCTAAATAATCTTTAAATCAATTTTAAATATTTTATTTTAACTTATTGTTATTTTTCTTAGATATCTTATCAAAATCTATTTATGCGATAAAAATTTTTATTGATGTATCACTATCAACTAATAAAATCACACGCGTAGTTTAGTAAAAGTAAATTATTAAAAAAAAAAAAACAAAAATAAGAACCCATTGTCGTTCATCCCAAATGGTCTCCATGTGTTCTCACCAAAACAGGGCAATTAATATTAATGCAGAAATTATTAGCTGTCCGGTTGACTGCCCGCTCGCATTTACAATTGATCAAAACCGCTATAATTACCATATTCTGTAATTAAATAAATGCCAATTATAAATAATTATATTTAAAAATTACCCAATTATATCGAAAAGGTGGTCCGCGGCCGCTTAAACCGCAGTCATGTCTGATTCCTCTTCTTCCTCTTCTCTACATCTCAGAAAGTTCTGATCATAGAGAAGGAGAAAGGAGGGTAACAGAGGCAGATCTATTTCAGGATCACGGGATCTTGCTCGAGGTTTATAATTTTGTGACTTCCCGACGAGGATTGGATTTGGGAAGGAAAGATGTGGGTTTGTGGTGCGTTTATGGCTGAAGAGAGGCATTTACTTTGCTGATCAAGCTTCCGGTTTGATCTTACAGCGTGGGAGGGCGACCTGGGGGGGAGGAGATGAGTGCTTCGAGATTTATTAAGTGTGTCACCGTAGGGGATGGCGCCGTTGGAAAGACCTGCATGCTTATATCTTACACCAGCAACACATTCCCTACGGTGAGTTTGGGAAATAATTTGGTTCATTTTGATGTGTTTGGTTGACGGATTTCGTTGTTTAGTTATTTTTTTTTATTTTTTTATTTTTTTGTGTTGGTTGGTGCTGGATTAATTGGGGGTAATTGGGGATGGAGCAGAACCTTTAATAAATGTTCTGTTGAATGAACATGAATTTCAATTTTCGTGGGGTTTTCGTGCTGTTTTTTGTTCTGGCAGAAAATTATGCTTGATACGATACTTCTTTGATTTCATTGATTTAAATTTCAGATTTATAACTTTCATTTCAATGAAATGGGTGGAGCGATGGATTTCTGTTTTAATTTTTAGGAGTTGTTAATATTTTCTAGCCGATTGTAGATCTCAACTATTGTCATCTTTTGTTTCATAATATTATGATTTTTGTTAATATTATGAGGGCTTTTTTACTATTCTTTCATATTCGCTCTACAAATTTTGACTGATTAACTAAAGTTCCAGATATTGCTATGAAATTCTGATGTATTTGGATATTGACTTTTTGGTGAACTATTACAGATTAGTTATGCTTTACACCCAAATTTTGAACACCAGCTCAGCACATGCCTAATATAAAAATGGGCATGTCTCAATGCAGTATGTACTTATGGCTATCTTTATTAGTTATGTGTTGATCCCCTGTTGAAAATTTGAATGAATATTTTCTAATGCAGATATGCCATTTCATTAACTTTTTTATTCGTATGGAAGAACCTGTTGGAAGAAGTTTTAATCTTGAACCCCTCAGGGGAGAAAGAACAATTATCAAGAAAAAATGGAAATTAAATTTTCATTTCAATTTATAAAAATAACAAATTTTTCTCTTCCTGCTTTCCAATTACATGTTGTATGGAAAGTTACTTTGATTCGAAGATTTCACTAATCACTGGTTTCTGTAAAAGTAAAATAGATGGGATGAAGAAGCTTTATGTCACGTTTCTTTCTTTAAAAGCAGCCATCCAGTTTCTTTTAGCTTTTTTTCTTTTTTTATCAAAAGTATGCTGAATGTTTATCATTGTTTAATCCCAACTGCATATATGAATCTAAGCATCTCTTTGTAGATTTCTTACCACTTTATGTCTCTTGGAAAACAGGATTATGTGCCCACAGTGTTTGACAATTTCAGTGCAAATGTTGTTGTTGATGGTAGCACTGTCAACCTAGGTTTATGGGATACTGCTGGTACTTTGAAATGCTTTTCTTAGTCCTTTTACAAAATCTATTGAATAGCATCCCTTTTATTGCTTCAGCACTTAGATTCATAGAATTAAAATAACAGAGTTTCTTTGATTTTGTTTTTATTCAATAGGTCAGGAAGATTATAATAGATTAAGACCATTGAGTTATCGCGGAGCTGATGTTTTTATACTGGCCTTTTCTCTCATCAGCAAGGCCAGCTATGAAAATGTTTCAAAGAAGGTGAAGACCTAATCAATTGATTCAATTCTTAATTACTCTAAATCTGTCTCTTCCTGTCCTAAAATTGACTACGTCTCCTTGTTGGGTTTCTATTCTAAATGCAGTGGATTCCTGAACTAAGGCATTATGCCCCTGGTGTTCCTATTGTACTTGTTGGAACAAAGCTAGGTAAGTCTTTTTCCTTCTTATTGAATTTCTCCCTTTTTTGTTTCCTTTTAGTTTGTCTTTTTTTTTTGACATTTTCTTTTGGCTAATGTGCGTATAAGATGGTTTGGTCACATTAAACACCGACCATCTGATGATCCGATTAAGAGTAGATGTTTTGCCGATTAGAAGAGTAGATGTTTTGGATTCGACTTATGTTAAGAGAGGCAGAGGTAGACCTAAGATGACTTGGGCATATTGTAAAAAAATGATCTTAATTTATTAGAATTAAATGAAAATATGACACTAAATAGGACTCAATGGAGAAAAAGGATTCATGTAGCCGACCCCACATAATGGGATAAAGGTTTTGTTGTTGTTGTTGAATGTGCATTTTTGTCTTTGAATAATTCAACCTGATTTGTGGTGTTGGTATTTGATTTAATTTCCTTTTTCTGGTAGGAGCTTAATGGCTTAGTCATCTATTGCATTGATGGTAGATATTGGCTCTGTTTTTTATCAACAACATAAACTTATGTTTGTAGTATTATTAATATATGAAGTTTGGAGCCTAATTAATGCCCTATGTAGAAATATCTTTTTTGGACTCTATATGTAGTATTTAGTATTTGTGAGTTTTCATTAAGGTTATTTGAAGATTTCACTTTATATTTTCACCAAGTTTCTTATCAAGGAATTACGGTTGTGTATTTATTTGTAAAGCTCCACTAGTGTAAACATAATGAAATCTACAATAACGACTATGTTAGCCATCAATTGGGTAAACCTATGTAAAATTCATGGTGTGTTTTGGCGTGTTCATTTCTTTTCTATTTTATTTCCTGTCAGGTGATTTAAATTAGGCATCACCTAATTCACAAAAAGTGTTAGCGAAGTATTTGGTACTAATTAAGACAATGATTAACAATAAGTTTGACATTAGGAATTGCTAAGTTGATGAAATGTACTTTCCATTTTGGAGGGTGCATATAATGTATTATCTATATAACAAGATGATGCACCTGCTAATAAACAGAAAGCTTTAAAGGAGGGTGAGTGGAATTTCCTTGATAGATAGGTGCTACAAGTGATTCATTTGACGTTATTAAAGAACATGGCACATGATGTGGAAATAATGAAGGCCAGTTTAAGTTTGATGAAGATTTTGTCGGACATGTACAAAGAGACCTGGACATGTAACATGGTACAACTGATAAAGATATTATTTAATCTAAAGATGGTTTAAGGTGGTCTGATGGTGGAAGATCTAAATAGATCTACATGCTTTTATGGCAATTGGTTGTGGGAGATTAAATTTGATGATGATACACCAGAATTTCTTTGGATTATTATCGAATTTTTATGAATGAAGGCTTATGTGAGCAATTCTATTAGTAATTCAAAATTGAAATTTAGTGATGTTTAAGATGCTATTATTACAAAGGAGATTTGAATAAGGAATTTTGATTTAGTCTGGAGATTAAATTTTGCTTTTAATATTGAGAAGAGGGTTATGGGTTTTGAGTGATATTTCAATAAGAGTAGTGGTAATAGGGTAAGTCAAAAATTGATAGAAGCAAGGCCAGTAATTGGGTGCTATAATTGTGGCATGATCAGTTATTTGAAGAATTACAGAGCACTGAAGAAGAGTGATGATAAGAATAGCCGTGGCAAATGTGATCATCAAAGCGACAGTGCTTTAATTTTATTGATAATCTTATTGAAGCTTGGGCGTTTGATGCATTCACTTATTTTTATCCTATTGCACGTCACTGAAAATGTTTCTTGCTGATGATGAACCTTTGAATGTTGCTGGTGTTGATGACGCCAAGCTAAAGATGATTAAATGGTCTGTTTGGGACATCCAAAATCTGAAGCATATGCCTAAGTTAACATGTAATTTTATTTAAGTTGGGCAATTTGATGACAGCCATAATGTGACTTTTAATAACAGTGTTTGAAAATTACTAAGGTTCATAATGGTTGCTATGGAAATAAAATTAGAATGCCTTACATCCCTTCTAGTTGCAGATATACAATTTCAGTTACTTATTTCGCTGCAAATTTTGATGTTTAAAGAAAATCACTATGACAATAAGTAGAAAGGGGAGGGTGGTTGTTGAATGTTTTCAATTTTAATATAAAAAAATGCAATGAATGCACATAAAATTTCTTCAATGCTGAAATTAATCATAATTTGAGTGGTACTTTCACTTTTGGTGAATGAAGAATTTTTCTTGGAGCAGTCGAATGGAAAGATGACCTTTCTTCAGGTAACTTGGAGGAATAAATTTATATGTTGTAACAACAAAGAGTTGTGGTATAGGGGAAAGAGAGAATGGTATGCAAAATTTAGAATTATGGTTTTAAATAGTTAATAAAAGAATTTTGATGGCTTTATGAGAAGTAATGGTTTTTTGACATGTCAAGAAGATCACTAATGTTATGTGAAGACATTTGGTAATTCTTGTATTATTTTACTGCTACATGGTCATGGCAGTTTTCAGCAAATTAGAAAGTAACCAGTTGAAATAGGTATTTTTAATTTTAAGGTGTTCCTGATAAGGGATTTGTGCTTTTAATCAAATTACTGGCACGAGAGTTGCATATAACAATAATATTTCAAGTTTTCACAGGAGGAATGTGAAGAATTTTCTTAGCAAATTCATCCTGCAAGATGTCAAAATTATATGTACTCTGGGTAATCATTTTAAGCTATTACAACAATAACAACAACAACAACAACAAAGCCTTAAAATCATTTTAAGCTGTTGAAAGAGAAATTTCCCTTCAAAGGAATAAACCCATATGGAAAATGTATGATTTGCTTATGCTATTGGTAGTTTTTTGTATGCTATGATGGGCACTAAAACTGACATTGCCTAAGCAGTTTGATTGGTCAGTAAGCAGACGAGTTAACCTAGAAAATAATATTGGGAGGTATAAAATGGATTCTTAGGCATCTGAGAAGTATTAGAGATTTTGCATTTTTTTTTTTAAAGTTTGATTTGGGAGTTTAGGGATATGTTGATTTCGGCATTGTTGGAGATATAATAGTAGGAAAAGTACTAGTGGGTATGTTTACATCTTTAGGTTCTATGATTTTTAGTTGGGTTTAAGGTCACAAAAAAAAAAAAAAATTGCTCTTTTATTATTGATTTACTGTATGCTGCTTGAGTGAAGCAAGCAAGTACATGTTTTGATTGCAATTATTTTTGGAATAATTGGATTAAAACTGTGAGAAATGGATGTTGTATTATCACAATTAGATTGTTATTCATTAAGAAAATTATATAATTTATCATCTTAGGACAAAGCATATTCAAGTACGTTATCAATACAATAAATTAGTTTTGGAGGATGGTATTTTAATACTTTGGGTGCAATTGATAGTCTGATGAGGACTATTCCAATTGAGTGCAAGTTCAGTTGGACTTCTGAAAACGAGGAGTGAGGAGTTGCTTCTGCTACAGTGGCGATGTGGCGATTGATTAGTCTCCAAGTCACAGATTTATTGAGGGTTCATTTACATTGTATTGGTGCCAAGTGCAATCATTTTTTTAAGTGGTAATGCTTCTATTGCCTATGTTCTTTAGTAACTGGGGGTTTATTTCCGCTAGTGGCATCATTACAAGGGCTTGAGTATATTGCATGGAATGACGACAATATACTGCCTAGATATCTAGCTCTTTCTGCGGATTCACCATCTTGCTTCTTGGTATCGTCATCATCTTTTATGCTGTGTATTTTGGTTTTTGAATATATGTTTTTTATTTGTTTTGGAGCTGTGCAGAATTGTAGAACCAGAAAATCCATTTGCGGTTATGTATGCCATAGAACTATGTATAGATATATGATATATCTATACATATACATTTGTATACATATATCATATATATGTATACAAATGTATATGTATAGATATATGATATATCTATACATATACATTTGTATACATATATCATATATATGTATACAAATGTATATGTATAGATATATGATATATCTATACATATACATTTGTATACATATACATCTGTATATGTATACATATACATTTGTATATGTATACATATACAAATGTATATGTATACATATACAGATGTATATGTATACAAATGTATATGTATAGATATATGATATATCTATACATATACATTTGTATACATATATATGATATATGTATACAAATGTATATGTATAGATATATCATATATCTATACATATACATTTGTATACATATATATGATATATGTATACAAATGTATATGTATAGATATATCATATATCTATACATATACATTTGTACACATATATATATATGTATATATATATATATATGTACATATGTATATATGTACATATATATATATATATATGTACATCTATATATGTATACATATACATCTATATATGTATATATATATATGTGTACACATATATATATATATATATATATTTAATAAAAGAGTAGCTCGTGACGAGTAAAAAAGGAAGGGTATAAAAAAAAGGAGGGAAGGAGGATCCCTTCTAAAAGAAATAAAAATACATAAAGTCCTAAGGGTTCCTTCATCCACATTACAACACTACGCAAAGTAGATGTACAAGGAACTATAAAGTAACCACTTTCAAAAATACATGCATGTGTCTCAACAAAACGTATACCAATGCAAAGCAGTATACCCATCATAAACATGTAAAGAAAGTGCAAAAAAAGTGGTGTGAATCGTAAGGCCAAAAAATCTTGAACTATATCTGAAAACCAGTCAAAATGCAGGAGAGTAGCTTCGTGACCTTCCAAGAACGGCTTCAGCATAGAAGGGATGGCGAAGCTTATCACCAAAAGACCAAACCTGTTAGTCAAAAGACCAAACCTGGTAAGAGAGTTAAAAGTAACAAGGTAGTGAAGCAAAAGTACAAAAAGGAGAGCCAATTTGATGCTCGAAAACCATCTCCAAGAAGAGCATAAAGGGACAATCCATGTAAGCCGAATTCAAAAACATATAATGCAAAATAAACGCCTC